CCCTCCTCCCCCCCCCACACCCTCCCTACACACCATCAAGCATGACCAAATGGATCCTGCTGCCGCTGTTAATGGGGCACGGCAAGAAGGATTAACCCTCGCGGAGCTGTCCTGCACGATCCGGCAAAGCAGTCAGCGTTCTGCCTCCTGGAATTGCCGGGCGTGGAGCGGAGTGGAGTTCTTTTCTTCCCATTCTCCCCTGAAGGAATGCCTGCTTATTAAAGAGCAAGGTTGTGTTCCTTTTTGCACCTCAAACCCACCCACCCCCAATTCCTGTCCCCTCTCCCCCAAAGCCATGCCATTCCTCTCTGGAGCTTTAGCTCTGTGTGTGTTGAGCCATTTCCTCCTGGCCGAGCCAGTGCAGCTTCAGGCCGGCCCAAGCGGCAGGAGAAATCTCTCGTCCTGCTTACCGGAACATGTGCTGAGTGTTTGGAGGGCTCTGGGGCCATCGTCATGGCTGTGAAAGGCAGAGCCCCTGCGGCTGCCTGTCTTGGGGGTGGGGCGCAGCCACCCAGCCATGCCACGTGCCCCCTAAGGTGGGTCTTCATTGCTCACGTTTTTCCCGGACTGCTGGGTCCTGGCTGGGCACAGCCTCTCCGTCTCCACTGGCAGGACAGTCTGGAGGCCTCCCCTGAGCATCAGCCCCCCCCCCAAAAAAAACTCTCCAGCTTCTCACTCCAGCCTGTACTTCTGTTTGGTTTGTCTGCTTCCCTTCCTGTGGCCCAGGGCAGCCTGGCACGGCTCCGTTCCTTCACCTTGGACAGGCCTGTGAGGCAGACGAGGCTGGGGGAGAGTGGCTGCCCCACTGAGCTTCACAGCAGAGTGAGGATTTGAACCTGGATCTCCACCACTCTAGTTTGGTGTCGTGATTAAGAGCGTGGGCTCTAATCTGGGAGAACCGGGTCTGATTCCCCACTCCTCCTCCACATGCAGCTGCTGGTGTGACCTTGGGTCAGTCACAAGTTCTCTCTCAGAGCTGATCTCTCAAGGGCAGTTCTCGGGAGAGCTCTCTCAGCCCCACCTCCCTCACAGGGTGTCTCTTGTGGGGAGGGAAGGGAGAATGTGAGCCACTCTGAGACTCCAAGTGAAGGGCAGGTTATAAATCCAATCTCCTCTCCGCCTAGTCTAACCACGGGCGCACGCGGGACTGTCTGTTCTGCTCAGATGCAGAGCCCAGGTGATGCCGCAGAGACGTGTAGGCAGGGGCCACAGCATGTGAGGCCCAGCTGAGCTGCTTGCGCTCTGGCCCAGTGGGGGAGATTCAGACATCCCTCCCGATTCAGCTGTTGTGCTGAAACCCTTTCCTTTTTTTTTTTTTTTTTTTGCAGACAGTGCCTCTGACTGGGGGAGCTGGAGTTCTGGGGAGAAAAGAGAAAGCCCGTGTGGGAATTTTGCAAGCTCTGATTAGAGATGTGGGGTGGGAGAGAGGCAGCAGATGGGGCCCCTCTGGGGCAGGAATAGGTAGATGGCATCCCAGGGCAAGAAGCTGGCAAGGGGGCAGGGAGTCGAGCAAGCTGTCACCCGGTTTCTGAGCCTGTGGTGCTTCCGTTCCCACAACCAAGAGGCCTAGAAACTTATCTCTTGAGCTGAACAGTCATCCAGTTTGAGAGAACCAGTTTGGTGTAGTGGCTAAGTGCACGGACTCTGGGAGAACCAGGTTTGATTCCCCAGTCCTCCACTTGTACCTGGCTGGATGGCCTTGGGCAAGCCGTAGTTCTGACGAGAGCTGTTCTTGAAAAAGAGCCGTTTCTGTCAGAGCTCTCTCCGCCCCGCCTACCTCACAGGGTGTCTGTTGTGGGGAGGGGAAGGGAAAGGAGATTGTGGGCTGCTCTGAGACACCTTTGGGTAGTGAAGGGCCAGGGGGTATTAATCCACTCTCCTCCTCTTCTTCGCCTTCTTCTTCGCCTTCTGTAGCCTTCTAGCTAGGTTCAACATTCATTCTCTTCCTCCCACAAACAGGAAGGTTCTTCACACCTGTCCTTTGGGGGTCAGTCCTTTCGTGGGTATTGAGGGGGTCGCACAGGACAGGTGGAGTCCTAGGTGCCTGAGGGGGAAGGGTCCGTTGCTTGCCCCCCCACCTAGTCATTAAGTGCTGAGTTCTCACTCAGTTCCCATAAAGCGGGGGGGGGGGGTGTTGTACATCACATGAACGCATGAAGCGGCCTTCTACTGAATCAGACCCTGGGTCCATCATAGCCAATATTGCCTGCTCTGACTGGCAGCAGCTCTCCAAGGTCTTAGGCAGAGGTCTTTCGCTTTGTTGTTCTTGTTCAGTCGCACAGTCGTGTCCGACTCTTCGCAACCCCATGGACCAGATCACGCCAGGCCTTCCGGTCTTCCACCGTCTTCTGAAGTTGGCTCAATTTCATGTTTGTTGCATCGATGACACTGTCTGACCATCTCATCCTTTGCCGTCCCCGTCTTCTTTGACCTTCAATCTTTCCCAGCATAAGGGTCTTCTCAAGTGAGTACTCCCTTCTCATTGGGTGGCCAAAGTATTTGAGCTTCAGTTTCATTATCTGGCCTTCCAGGGAACAGTCAGGGTTGATTTCTTTTAGGATTGACTGATTTGATCTTCTTGCAGTCCAAGGGACTCTTTCGCTTTGCCGCCTCCTTAAAGTCTGGAAAGCTCAGCTGCTTCTTGCTCTCCCCCCTCCCTCATTTCTGACTTTCCCCCAGTGTCTTCTCCCTCCCTCCCTATCCCTCCCTCCCTCCCTCCCTCCCTCTCTCTGTCTCTCTTCCCACGTGGACCAGCTATTTTTCGAGAAAGTGCTACTGGGAAAAGAATCCTTTCGCCTGCCAGGAATGTGCGCGGAGGAATGCCTCTCCCGTTCCAAGAGCAACTTCCAGACGTGTGGCTGAGTGACGGCAACTCCTTGTGGGGGTGGGACCAATGGGGGGGGGAGCCGCAGGCTCCTTTCTGAGTAGCTGAGTTCACTCCTCTGGCTGATGTGTTAACTACACGGGAGGCAAACTGGGAGGGAGGGAGGGAGACTTGCTACTGGCAGCCTCCATTCAGGAAAAAGCTCCCCACCACCACCCCACCCCTCTCCTGGAGGAATGTGCTGCTCTTGGCCGCTCTGCCGAGGCTCTGCTCTGAGTGGTACTTAAAATTCAGGGCACTCTGCAAAGAGGATGAGGCGGCACACCTCACCCTGGCCCTGGCAGGGCCTGCAGGGATCCCCCCGGGACCCTCTGCGTGGACAAAGAAGCCGTTCAAAGTCCTTGGTGAATTCCGGCACTGTAGGCTTATGACCCAGTCTGCCATGGGTCCCGGCACTCCCCGTCTGCATCTTTCCCCTTTACTTTGCCACCGACAGAGGGCTCATGTAGCTGCATGGCACGCTTGAGCTCTCTCCTCTGCAGGGACAGGGTGCTCAGGAGCCGGCAGGTTGTGCAGTTGAGTTCAGAGGGGATTTGTGTCGTCCTCGTGTTCCCCCCCCCCCCCGCCGCCGCCCCAATTCCAAATGAGCCGACACACCAGCACCAGCAGACACACACACACACACAGCACTAGAGATCAGTGCATGACTTCACTTCTTTGTTCAGCCAGGCGCAAGTGAAATCTCGTGTCATATACAGAAGTGTAAATCGTGTATTCAGATGTGAGATTTTTGGATGAGACATGAAAGGAACAGATGGGAGCTGAAGAGCCGAGGAGAGGGGGTGCCTCTGGTCAGTCCTGAGACCGTTTCCCCAGGCGCGCGGGGGGGGGTGAGTCTGCAAAGTCCCGCTTGTCCCCTCGGCGGCTTCAGTCTTTGTGGAAGGAGCTCCCAGGGATTCAAGCTGGCTCGTACCAGAAGCTGCTTTTCAGGGCCTGGCAGAACCTTTCCCGAGACCGGCATCTTCTCTTACATGAGTCCAGTGGGGACACCTTTAAGACCAGCAAAGTTTTGTTCAAGTCATGTGCATGAATAAGATTTTGTCGGCCTGAGTGCCACTGGACTCCCCCTTTGTGCTGCTGCTTCAGACCCACATGGCTGCCTTCCTGAACCTGTACATGGTCAGTGTGAGAGAATACACAGAATCTGTCCCTATTCCCACATAGTGACTCTGGGCATAGAACTTGGCTGTTGCTGGCTCATTTCCTCTTGGCAGCAGGAGACCTTGCTCCTAGAGATGCCAGGGCCCGGAAGAATTTGGGGGGTGGGCGGAGTCCTTTCCCCATTTTTCCCTAGGCCCCTTTTTCCATTTTATTGATGGGGGAAAATTGAATATCTGGGGAAGTAGTGAAAACAAATCTCCTGTGGAATATTTTCTCTTTTAGAATGGGCAAGATGCTTCAGAAGGCAAGGTTTTCTGTACTCAAAATGTACAGCATGAAAAAGTATAAGGAATTCTATCCCCCCCCCCCCCCCCCCCTCCCTCTGAAAAGGCTGTACAAACTTGCCCCCCCCCCCCCCCCGTTTTTCCAGTGGAAATATTGGGAAATATTGGGGAGTGCTGGGGGGAAAAAAACTATACTGTGAACATGTACAATATTTTCGGGGGGGGGGGGGGTTGGATGTAAAGGTAGATCATTTTAGCAACAGGAGAGAGTTTCTGTCCAAATAACACTTTATTTATCATAGAATGTTAGAGTTGGAAGGGACCTTGCAGGTCATCTAGTCCAACCCCCTGCACTCTGCAGGAGCAGAGCCGAAAGATAATAGCCCTACATACCTACAATATCCCCGAAAGATGGTCGTCCAGCCTCCACTTGAAAACGTCCAGCGAAGGAGCACCCACCACCTACCGAGACAGACTGTTCCACTGCTCAACCACTGACAGTTAGGAAATTTCTCCTGATATTTAGCCGGTATCGACTCCTTTGTAATTTCCACCCATTAGATCTAGTCTTGCAATCCAGAGCAAGAGAGAATAGATGCAGAATTTGCATTTGTTGACTGAATTTGTTAACTGCAGAATTTGTTTTCTACCTTTGGCTTTTAGTTTCCCCTGCCTCTTACATGGTGTGCAGGGTGCAGCCGTTGGCAACCGTTTTTCAAGTACTGAGCAGACTTGCAGTTTTTCTTACAGAAAATGAAGACACGTATACTTTTAAAAGCCGTAAATACGCCAAATATTACAATTTTATATGCTGACTGAGTTACGAGTGATGCCTTTTATGTCGGTTATTCAGGAAAGGAAGTTCAGGTGTGACAGCAAACTGCTGCATATATTTCAGTCCCCCCCCCCCCCCCCCCCCGTTTTCCAAATTTCTGTAAATTCTACACCTCCACTCGCACCCAAGCACAGAAGTGCCCAGCCATCCGTATCACACACTTGGCAGAGGGCAGCAGGCCGAGAGGCGCTCCCCTCGGTACTGCTAGCTGCTCTCCTGGCAGCGGACCCACACTGTTGAGGAGTGGGCTGGGACAAGCCGAGTGGCTTTGGGGCTGGAAAAAATGATGCTCTGTTCACATAAACGCGTGAAGCTGCCTTCCAAAGAGCTGGACCCTCGGTCTTTCCAGTGCAGTTCCATCTCCTCTGACCGGCAGGGGCTCCCCAGGCTTTCTACCTGAGCCTTTTAACTGGAGATGCTGCCAGGGATTGAACCTGGACCTTCTGTCCTTGAAACATGGGCCTTCCATCCTTGTCTGTGTCAGCAAGCAACATATAGTTGCTGTAGATTTTCCGGGTTGTGTGGCCGTGGCCTTGGCACTGTAGAACCTGACGTTTCGCCACTAGCTGTGACTGGCATCCTCAGAGGAAGAACACAGAAAGGTGGAGTACTCTCTATGCCAAGGTGAGAAGGAAAATGATAGGCAGGTAATTTATATATACTCCAGAAGGTGGGGTAGGGCTGAGTCTTAAAAGTATAAGTATCTTCATTTTCGGTAAGAAAAACTGCAAGTCTACTCAATACTTGAAAAACGGTTGCCAACGACTGCACCCTGCACACCATGTGAGAGGCAGGGAAAACTAAAAGCCAAAGGTAGAAAACAAATTCTGCAGTTAACAAATTGAGTTAACAAATGCAAATGCTGCATCTATTCTCTCTTGCTCCGGATTGCAAGACTAGATCTAATGGGTGGAAATGACAAAGGAGTCGATACTGGCTAAATATCAGGAGAGACTTCCTAACTGTCAGAGTGGTTGAGCAGTAGAACAGACTGCCTTGGGAGGTGGCGGATGCTCCTTCGCTGGACGTTTCCAAGCGGAGGCTGGACGACCATCTTCCGGGTATGTTGTAGGGCTATTATCTTTCGGCTCTGCTCCTGCAGAGTGCAGGGGGTTGGACTAGATGACCTGCAAGGTCCCTTCCAAATCTAACATTCTGTGATTCTATATTTCAAAAGCTATTTCTTCCCAGTGCTTCTGGGAGCTTCTTCCCAAGGTGCTATCTGCCACCCCCCTTCTCCCCAAGCGGTGTCCTTTGAGCAATTTATGGGCCCCTCATCCTGCAGGGGGAAATGCCCTGGGACTGTTGAATGTGGATGGAGTTTTTCTTTGGTTTTTCTTGGGGGGCAAGACGCTGGGGGTGGGGGAGATCAGAGCCTTTACTGCCCAGGACTGGTGTGGTGATGAATGGACTGGAGAGTGTGGAGTGGGGCCCGTCTCCCACTCCAGGGTCTTAATTGCACACACCCCCATGCCCTGGGAGCCTCTTATGTTTTCCAAGTGTTTATGGGGACCAGATGGCGCAGCTGGGTGAGGGGGAGAGTGACCCCATTGCTGTTTGTGTAAGGGCATGCGTCCTGTTCACGCCTCCCAGCCAGACAATCTGTAATGGGGGGGGGAGATTTCTGGGCTGTCCCTTCTGCTGTTGGCCAAGAGGGAGGGGCTGCCCAGGGAACAGCCTTGGGCTTGGGCTTTCTCCTTGTTGGGGGGTCATGAGTTAAAGGGTCTCGCCGGGGCCGCTAGACACACTCCTTTCTGGAATGTGGCACTGTCAGGACTCCTCCTTTCCAAACAAGTGAATAGTAAAATAGGCTGGTGGGCACAATGGCCATGTGGTGGCTCCAGCTTCGTGCAAAACTAAGGACTTCATGAATGAAAGAATGTGTATGAACACACTTCGGAACATAAGAACCTAAGAGAAGCCAATGTTGGATCGGGCCAGTGGCCCACCCAGTCCAACACTCTGTGTCACACAGTGGCCAGAAATACCAGGTGCCATCCGGAGGTCCACCAGTGGGGCCAGGACACTAGGAGCCCTCCCACTGTTTCCCCCCACCAAGCACCAAGAACACAGAGAATCACTTGCCCCAGACCGAGAGTTCCTATCTATACCTTGGGGCTAACGGCCACTGATGGACCTCTGCTCCATATGCTTATCCAGTTCATAAGAACACAAGAGAAGCCCATTTTTGATCAGGCCAGTGGCCCATCCAGTCCAACACTCTGTGTCACACAGTGGCCAAAAATACCAGGGGCCACCAGGAGGTCCACCAGTGGGGCCAGGACACTAGATACCCCTCCCACTGTTGCCCCCCACCCCAAGCACCAGGAAGACAGAGCATCCCTTGCCCCAGACTGAGAGTTCCTATCTATACCTTGGGGCTAATTAGCCACTGATGGACCTCTGCTCCGTATGTTTATCCAATTCCCTCTTGAAGCCGTCCATGCTTGTAGCCACCACCACCTCCCTTCCTCCGGGGGCAGGCTGCCCTATGTTGTGCCCACTTCTGGGCTCAAAGCCAAGCCCCTGGGACTGGCTCTCTGGGCGGCTGGTCCGTCTTGGGAGCCACCAGTGGCCCCGGGGGGTTGCATCGTGGCAGGTGCCGCGGCTCTCCTCTGGTCCTCCTCATCCTCACGCAGAGGCTGCTGTCCCACCGTGCCTCCCTTCCCTCTCCCTTCCAGGATATCCGCAACACAGTGGGCAACATTCCCATGGAGTGGTACGAGGAGTTCCCCCACATTGGCTACAACTTGGATGGCAAGAAGATCTTCAAGCCCATCCGCACCAAGGATGAGCTGGACAAGTACTTGGACAAGATGGAAAACCCTGACTACTGGTGAGGGGCTCTGGGTGGGCAGGCAGCTGGGCAGTGAGGCGTGCTTGCCCTTGCGGGGGAGGGCCTCATGCATTGGGGAGGGCTCCTTCTGCCATAGGGAAGTGCCTCCGTGAGCAGAGTGAGCCCAGAGGATCCACCCTGGGGCATTTTTCTTTCTTCGTCCATCTCAACGTGTGTGTGTGTGGGGGGGGTTGCCTGTGGGAGGCCGTGGCTTGTGTGTGCTCCAGTGGAGGGGGCGGGGTTTGCCCAGGTGGGAGAGGCCTGGCTGGTCTGTGCCCTGCTCTTCCCGTCCTCTCTGCCCACTGCAGGCGAACCGTCCAGGACAAGATGACGGGGGTGGACGTGAAGCTGACGGATGAGCAAGTGGAGCTGGTGAACCGACTCCAGAGGGGCGAGTTCGGAGACGTGAACTTCAACCCTTACGAGGTTAGCACAAGCCCCCACCCTGTGGTGCCCAGCAGAAGGGCAGGCTGCCTGGCCGGCTGGGCAGCCCCCTGGCCCGCTGGCTTCCGGCCCTCCCTTGAGTGGGCCCCGTTTGCTTTTCAGCCTGCCGTGGACTTCTTCAGCAGCCAGTTGATGATCCACCCAGTGACAAACCGCCCGGCCGACAAGCGTAGTTTCATCCCATCCCTCATTGAGAAGGAGAAGGTGAGTAGAGGGGCGTGGGGGGGGGGTCTTGGCTGTATCTGGCATTGCCAGAGGTTTTTGAGGCCTGAGCGCCATGGCTGGCACCTTCAAAACGCCTTGTCCCCCCCCCCCCCCCCCCGCGCCCGGCCATCCCCCCGGGATCCTGGACTCTCCTCATGTCAACTGCTCCCTTATTGGAGCCCTTATGAGGAGACCACAAGGAGACATTTCTGTTCCCTTTTGGAATTAAAGAGCGGGAGGAAACAGAGGGGCCTAGAGAGCGGCTGCCCGGGCCACCTGGCCAGGCCTGGAGAAGGCGCCGTGGCCTCCCACTGGCCCTTGCACACCCTGGGACCAGCACTAGAGGCTGATTGGCCACGGAGTCCAGATTCTATCCGAGGAGAAAGCACGCCATGGGCAAGGGAGGGCGTCTTTCTTCTTAGGGAAGCATTGAGAGCCAGTTTGGTGTAGTGGTTAAAGTGCGCGGACTCTAATCTGGAAGAACCAGGTTTGATTCCCCACTCCTCCATTTGCAGCTGGTGGATGACCTTGGGCAAGCCATAGCTCTGATAAGAGCAGTTCCTGTCAGAGCTCTCTCAGCCCCACTCGCCTCCCAGGGTGTCTGTTGTGGGGAGGGGAAGGGAGAGGAGTTTGTAGGCCGCTCTGAGACTCCCTTGGGTAGTGAAGGGCCATGGGGTCTAAATCCAATCTCCTTCCTCCTCCTCCTCCGGCAAGGGCTTGCTTCCTGGAGGATGACGTGGGGGTAACACAGAAGGGCCGCGGCTCCCACCTGGGGAAAGAAGTAGCCCCCAGCCCTGGACCGTGGCAGAGCCCCCCCCTTCCTTTCCCTTGTCTGCTGGCTCTCCGCCCCCCACCCCACCCCCAAGTCAGTGTGTGGCTCTAGCCCAGAAAGAGAGGAGGGGGGGGCCTGCCTCCTTACCTCGTCTCCCTCCCAAATCCCGGGCAGGTCTCCAGGCTGGTCCACGCCATCAAGATGGGCTGGATCAAGCCGCGCAAGCCCAAAGAGGAGACGCCCAGCTTCTACGACCTGTGGGCTCACGAAGACCCCAACTCCATCCTGGGGCGGCACAAGATGCACGTGCCTGCCCCCAAGCTCCCCCTGCCCGGCCACGCGGAGTCCTACAACCCGCCCCCGGAGTACCTCCCCACAGAGGAAGAGGTGAGGGTGCTTGGGGGGGGGGGGAGCTCCGTTCTGTCCACAGCTGGAGGGAGAGGAGGGGGGCCCGGAGGGCGAGTGCCCAGAGAGGGAGAGGGCTCGTAGCCCAGGGGCAGAGCACCTCCTTTGCCACCTTCGGCTCCTGGCGCCTTGAGCCAAAAAAGCCCCCAGGACCGGTGCTGCGATGAGGCCGTTCTCCGCCTGAATCCTCAGACACCTGCGGCCAGTGCAGAGCCAGGCGGATTTGGCAGTCAGCAGCTCTGGAGGGGCTTTTGGGCCTGAGCAACCAATGACACCTGCCTCTTCCTGCAGAAACTGGCCTGGGACCAGCAGGAGCCCTCTGAGCGCAAACTGAACTTCCTGCCCCAGCACTTCGACTGCCTGCGCCGCGTCCCCGCTTACCCCCGTTTCATCCACGAGCGGTTCGAGCGCTGCCTGGACCTCTACTTGTGCCCACGCCAGAGGAAGATGCGGGTATGTGGTGCCCAGGGAGGCGGGCAAGGCCTCCTAACCCAGCCTGTTCCTCTGTCCCCGTCGCTCTGTGGGTCTGCTTCGGGACAGAGCGATTCAGAACGGGACTGAGACCCAGCAAGAGCCGTCCCTGTGGCCAGACGTTGTCTGCCGTCACTGCCGGGGGTGAGCCCAGCTGTTAAGGGCTAGGTACAGTGTCCAGATCACGCGAAGTGATACTATCGCTTTACTCTGCTCTGGTGAGACCTCACCTAGAGTATTGTGGTCAATTTGGGGCACCACAGTTTAGGAAGGATATAGACAAGCTGGAACGTGTCCAGAGGAGGGCAACGAAGACTGTAAGGGGTCTGTTGACCAAGTCCTACAAGGAAAGGTTGAAGGAGCTGGGTGTGTTTAGCCTGGAGAGGAGACGACTGAGGAGTGATGTGATCACCATCTTCAAGTACCTGAAGGGCTGTCGTATTATAGAGGATGGTGCAGTGTTGTTTTCTGTTGCCCCAGAAGGTCGGACCAGAACCAGTGGGTTGAAATTAAACCAGAAGAGTTTTTGGCTAAACATGAGGAAGAACTCCCTGAGAAGTTTTGTGGTTCCTCAGTGGAACAGGCTTCCTCGGGAGGTGGTGGGCTCTCCTTCTTGGGAGGATTTCATGCAGAGGCTGGATGGCCATCTGACAGCAATGTTGAGTCTGTGAGCTTAGGCAGATCGTGAGAGGGAGGGCAGGAAGGGTTGCCTCAGTGCTTAGTCCTTGTGGCCCTTTCTTACATGCCCAGGGAAATGTTGATCGCCACTCTGGGGTCAGGAAGCAATTGTTCTCCGGGCCGGTTTGGCTGGAGATCCTGGAAGTTTTTTGCCATCTTCTGGGCGTGGAGCAGGGGTCACTGGGGGTGTGGGGAGGGGGGAGGTATTTGTGAATGTCCTGCACTGTGCAGGGGGGTTGGACTAGATGACCCTGGAGGTCCCTTCCAGCTCTATGATCCTATGTGGCCACGGCCTGAGAAAAACGATACCATTAAGAAACAAAAACAAGGCCGTTAAAACGAGCCCCTGAAAACAAGCTGCAGCCGTTACAAGAACGTTCCTTCGCATACCTGTGTCGGATGGTGGGCGGGGACGGGCGAAAGCTCACACTGAAATAAATGTTGTTAGCATCTAAGGTGGGCCCACTGGCATTTTACTTCATTAAAAAAACAAGCCAGGGCATAAAAGCAGCATGAAGCACACACATCGAGTAGCCTCAAATGAATGTCGGTGAGCCATTCCGTAGGCCACAAGCAGACTCTAAAGAAAGGAAATGGCTTGGCGTGAAAGCCTGAGGAAGGAGGCGTGTTTTAACCAGGCACCAAAAGGAGGCGGAAGGAGGCACCGGGTGAGCCTGGAGGGCGGAGGGGATTCTGCAGGGATGGTGCCGCTGGGGACAAGGCCCTGCCTCTGGTGGCCAGCTGCCTCTCCACTGTCGTGGGGGGGGGGGCACAGAGCAGGGCTCCAGAAGAGGCCATCCATTCCAGGTGGCTGCTCCTCCTCAGAGCCAGGGCAAGGTCAGGTAGCTGTTCTGGTCTGTTCCCCCCTCCCTTCTCTGATGGTGTGTCCCAGGATCCTTTGCTCCAGGGCACCCACGGAGAGGGGAGGAGCAGAGCTGCCACCACCGTCTGCCCCAGGTGGGCCCTGCAGCACGGACGTCGGCTCACAGCCGTGCTCTTTCCTAGGTCAACGTGGATCCCGAGGATTTGATCCCGAAACTCCCCAAGCCGCAGGATCTCCAGCCGTTCCCCTCCGTGCAGTCCTTGGTAAGGCTTTGGGCAAGGGACCCCCACTGCTGCTGTGCCTCCTTGGAAGGAGGCCCCCCCTCACCGGGCTGTGCCGGACTCACCCACCTCCCTTCTCTCCCCAGGTCTATCGTGGCCACACCGGTCCCGTGCGCTGCCTCAGTGTCTCCCCCAGTGGACAGTGGCTGGCATCCGGTAAGCTCCCCCCCCCATCCCCCACTTGCTTCCGTGGCATGTTGGACAGAGAAGAACCTGCAGAGACCAGCAGGCGAGAGAGTGTCGCGTGGGGGACTGGCAGCTGCTGGACTGGTCTGCATTCTTCTGCCGCTGACACCTGCCCGGCGCTCTGCTTCCTTTCCTAGCTGTTTTTTTTGGTGGGGAATCCAGGCAACACAGCAGAGAAAGCTAGGATTTTAGAGGCCAGGCAGGTCATCTGAGAAGACAGCGGGGTGGCAGGACTTCCCCCAGTGGGGGCCTGGGGAAGTCCTCGCCCAGCCCCTCCCCGCCCTCTTCCACTGTGTCACTAAAAGGAGTCCTCCAGAGCTGCCGTCCGGTTTTGCAAGCACTCTTCCTTCTTACCTGGGCGAGTGCTCAGAGCCCAGGGCTGTAAGCCTGAAAGGCGGGCCCTCCCCTCTCCAGCCCACTTCCTCAGGAGCCGTGCCCGGAATGGACTCCCGGGACCTTCTTTGTGCCAGCGGTCTGGCCCTGCGGCAAGCCTCGATTGGCATCATGAGTTTGATCTCTAGGCAGCTCCTGCCCGGTGGCTGGAGGCGGGACCCGCAGAATGGTTTGTCGTTTCTTGAGGAAGGGGAGGAGTCACGTGCGTTTTGGTGATGCCCACCCTGGCCTGGAAGGACACAGGGCACCAGGCACTTATAGAACCCCCTTTCAGGTGTGCAGAGCCTTTCATTTGCACCGTCTCAGTAATACCCCTAATAAGGCAGGGAGGATGGCCACATTCCTGTATGGCCAGGGGCGGGGCATAGACTGAGCATCGCTGGTGGCTGGCCCGTGGCCACCCTGCTGAGTTGGTGGCAGAGGTGAGATTTGAACCAGGGACATCTCCGCTACCATTCTCAGTCACTTTGTTGGGCTTCCCTAGTTTTGGGGGCTCAGTGCTCTGTGGGAAGAGGCGTCAAGCTCACATCCACCCCCTGTCTTTTCTGCAGGGTCCGATGATGGCACAGTGAAATTCTGGGAGATCTGCACGGCCCGGTGCCTGAAGACCCTCCCCGTGCCGGGCGTGGCGAAGAGCGTGGCTTGGAACCCCAGCCCCACTCTCTGCCTCGTGGGCATTGCTGTGTGAGTTCTCCCCCACTGGTTCGTTACGTAGCCTGCAATCGGGGCTGGGTGGCAGAGGCGGAGGAATCGTATTTAGGACACTGCAAACCAGAAAGGATGGAGAAGAGCCAGTCTGGTGTAGCGGTTATGTGCGCGGACTCTAATCTCGGAGAACTGGGTTTGATTCCCCACTCTTCCCCCACTTGCACCTGGCTGGATGACCTTGGGCAAGCGGTAGCTCTGATAAGAGCTGTCCTTGAAAAAGAGCAGTTTCTGTCAAGAGCTCTCTCAGCCCCACTTGCCTCACAGGGTGTCTGTTGTGGGGAGGGGAGAAGGGAAAGGAGACTGTGAGCCGCTCTGAGACTCCTTTGGGTAGTGAAGGGCGGGGTATAAATTCAATCTCCTCCTCCTCCTCTTCTTCCACCAATGGAAGAAGAGCCAGTTTGGTGTAGTGGTTAAAATGCACGGACTCTAATCGGGGAGAAGGGGGTTTGATTCCCCACTCCTCCACTTGCACCTGGCTGGATGACCTTGGGCAAGCCATAGTTCTGACGAGCTGTCCTTGGAAAAAGAGCCGTTTCTGTCAAAAGCTCTCTCAGCCCCACCTACCTCCCAGGGTGTGTCTGTTGTGGGGAGGGGAAGGGAAAGGAGATTGTGAGCCGCTCTGAGACACCTTTGGGTAGTGAAGGTCGGGGCATAAATCGAATCTCTTCTTCTTCTTCTACCGAGATCTGTGCCAACTGAGTGAATGGGCAGGAACCTGGCCAAAAGGGGACCCTCATCCGGGCAAAGGTCTGAAACAGGGCAGCCCAAACGAGTGAAGGGTTTTGAGCACCTTCTGTGTGAGGAGAGGCAGGCAGATGTCCCAGACAGGGCATGATAGATGTTGGTAAAGTTATGCATGATGTGGAGGGGGGAGGGACTTTCCCCACCCTTTCGGAAGCCCTGCATCTCAGAGGCACCTGGTGAAGTTGATGGGCAGCAGACACTGGGCGGGCACCTTTAAACGGAGGCACTCATAAAGAAGAGAAGAGATTGGATTTATACCCCATGGCCCTTCACTACCCAAGGGAGTCTCAGAGCGGCTGACAAACTCCTTCCCCTCCCCCTCCCCACAACAGACAGACACCCTGTGAGGGAGGTGGGGCTGAGAGAGCTCTGACAGAAACTGCCCTTTTTCTAGGACAGCTCTTATCAGAACTAGGGCTTGCCCAAGGTCATCCAGCAGGTGCAAGGGGAGGAGTGGGGACTCAAACCCGGTTCTCCCAGATTAGAGTCCATGCACTTAACCACGACACCCAACTGGCTCTCAACACAGGGCATGCCAAGAGGTGCTGGGTGAGAGGGACTGTGGAGGGGATCAGGTACATCCCCATTGCTACATCTGTCCACAGCTCTTTGGTATGGTTGCTTCAGAGACAGCGTGCCTGGAGGGAGGGAAAGCCTCCTTTGTCCTCTGCTTGTGGACTCCCCAGGGTCACCTGTTGGCCACTGTGTCAAACAGGATGCTGGAGAAGATGAGCCTTTGGCCTGACGGCTCTGATGTTCCTGAGCTATTTCTCCATTTGTTCCTAACGGGGGTCATTTCCTGCCGGAGCGCCCCAAAGCGGTGCTCCGCCAGTAAGGAGCCCAGGCCCCGCCCCTGAAGAGACTCAGAGAGGAGGGTGGGATTTAAATGCCTGGGTTCCCTCCCCTTCTCTTCTGCAGCCAGCCCACCACGGCAGGTTGGCTGGGGAGGCGGGCAGAGATGTCCCCTTTTCCCCTGAGCCGCTCCACTTTTGGGAAGGAGACTCAGGGAGGGTGGGGGATTTAAACTCACTTGCATATGCCTTAACTCATTTTAAACATGCCTGCCCTTTGTCAGGGGGTGTGGCATATGCAAATGAGTTATGCCAATAAGCTCCTGCACCTCTTTTTCTGGGAAATGACCCGCTGGTTCCCCACATGCACACACAAATAGCACCGTCACCACTCCTGGGCTGGTGAGCACAGCCCTCAGGCGCAAGGGGGTGGTATGGGTTGGCACTCTGCCCCCCTGGCTTTCTGTCTGTGCCAATAGCCTCTGCAGACCAGGCCTTGCGCCCAGGACTGTCGATGGCGCTCCTGCCCTCCACGGCTCCTGACGACTCCCGCCTTCTCCTCCCGCAGGGAGCAGTCAGTGCTGCTGGTGAATCCTGGCCTGGGGGACAAGCTGCTCTGCGGGGCCACGGACCAGCTGCTCGAGGCCTTTGTGCCCCCGGAGGAGGAGCGGCCCCAGCTGGTCACGTGGGAGGAGGCATCCGGAGAGGAGCACAGCCGGGGAGTGCGGCTCATCGTCAGACACGGGAAGGTGAGTGCCGGTGGAGCCGTCAAACCCAACGCGGCAGGGGCAGGAGGGAGAGGAGAGGAGAGGCTCCCGACCGACGCCCTTTGTCCGGCCTTGCTCCCGCAGCCCCTGAAGCAGGTGACGTGGCACCGGAAGGGGGACTACTTTGCCACCGTGGTCTCGGACAACAGCCACCTGCAGGTGCTGATCCACCAGGCGAGCAAGCGCTGGAGCCAGGCGCCCTTCCGCCGGAGCAAGGGCCAGGTGCAGCGGGTCCTCTTCCACCCGCTGCGGCCCTTCTTCTTCGTGGCCACCCAGCGCTTTGTGCGGGTCTACAACCTCCTCAAGCAGGAGCTCACCAAGAAGCTGCTGACCAACTGCAAGTGGCTCTCCAGCATGGCCGTCCACCCCGGAGGTAGGTGGGCCCGCGGCTGGGGAGGGGCAGGAACCGGCCCCCAAGGGACACGCTGCGTTTTTACTTTTTATTTCGCAAAATTTGGATCCTGCCTTCCCGCCCTCATGGGGCCACCGAGGAGGCTAACGAATTAAAACAGACATGGTAAAATCGCATCTTGAAACCTATTAAAAGCAACAAAACACATTAAAACAAAGGGATCTGGAGCTAAACTACATACAAAAACAACAGTTAAAACTTTGGGCAGGAAGGTGGGAGCACGGAGGGAGCACCAGATGAAGCCAAAAGGTTATCACCGACTGGGGCAAGGCAGCCACCGAGGGGGACAGGCAAATCCCGGGGGGGTTGGGGAGAGTCCCATAGTTTTGACACCCTGCTGAGAAGGCCAGAGCTTGGGTGGCCAGCCTCCCAGCCTCAAACCTTTGGGGGGGGTACCCAAAGCAGGGCCTTGGAGGATGACTGTTGCCTCAGGTGGGTCCGTAAAGAAACAAGCCGGATGGTCCCAAACCAGGCAGGGCTTTAAAGAGCAGCGGCAGCCGCGGCAGCATCCACCCCTTGCCTTACGCCTGGAAACAGATCAGGGAGCCAGTGCAGATGGGCCGAGGCTGGAGCAAGATGGCCCCCGTGACCCACGCCAGGCAGCATTCTGGACCAGCTGCAGCTTCCAAACACTCCAGCTGACTCCAGTCATGCCCAGTGTAAAGTGCCGTCAAGTCGCAGCCGACGTCTGGCGACCCCAGCGAGGAGCTTTCCGGGCACGTGAGCCGCCGAGGTGGTTGGCCTCGGCCTGCCCCTGCAGGGTCTTCCTTGGTGGTCTCCCTTCCAGGTGCGACTTACCCTGCTTCGCTTCCACGGCCTGACTCAGCCGGGCTGGGCCACGTTGCCTTGCCTCCCTTGCTCGGAGCTAGTCTGGCTAAACAGCGCGCTCCCCATTGCTGGCCCCCCGGAAGGTAGGTCTTTCCTCCCCCGGAGATGCCACCCACTGCCTCCCCCGCAGGGCCCCTTGTAACCTTCCTCACTATAGCCCCGGGAAAACTGATCAAGGAGAGTAGCCGTATTGGTCTGAAGCAGTAGAACAAAGTGAGAGTCCAGTCGGGGGCACCTCTAAGCCCAACAAGGTTTTATTCAAGGTGTGAGCTTTCGTAGGCACGCCCACTTCGCCAGACGCGATGAAATGGAAGTCCATGTCATCTTCTGCCTGCACGTGAGAGCTCACACCTTGAATAAAACTTTGTTGGGCTTAGAGGTGCCCCACTGGACTCTTACTTCCTGGAAAATGGAATCACTGGAAAGAAGAGCTGAGCAGGCTGAGCGAGTCCTGGGAACAATGTTCCCTCTAAACTGTGGAGTCTTGTGAGCTAAAATTCTACTGTGTGAGCTCCTGGCATGAAAGTTGTGAGCGAGCGATTTGGCTGCTGCCTAAATCAGTTTGCGCTGGAGCCCTCCTTCCTGAGCTAAGACAAGAATGTGCGAGCCGGAGGCTAAAAACCTGTGAGCTGGCTTACACCAACTCGGCTTAGAGGGAACACTGCCTGGGAACTCTCATAACATCAGAGAAGCCAATGTTGCCCCCCCCCCCAGCACTTGCCCCAGAATTCCTATCTATGCCCTGTGGCTAATAGCCACTGATGGACCTCTACTCCATATTAAGAACACAAGAGAAGATCCCCTGGTCCCCCAGTGGGGCCAGGACATTAGAAGCCCTCCCACTGTTGACCCCCCCCCCCCAAGCACCAAGAATACAGAGCATCCCTTGCCCCAGACTGGGAGTTCCTATCTATACCTAGTGGCTAAGAGCCCCTGATGGACCTCTGCTCCAGATGTTTATCCATAAGAACATAAGGGAAGCCAGTGTTGGATCAGGCCAATGGCCCATCCAGTCCAACACTCGGTGTCACACAGTGGCCAGAAATACCAGATGCCATCAGGAGGTCTAGCAGTGGGGCCAGGACACTAGAAGCCCCTCCCACTGTTGCCCCCCACCCCAAGCACCAGGAAGACAGAGCATCCCTTGCCCCAGAGTTCCTTTCTATGCCTTGTGGCTAATAGCCACTGATGGACCTCTGCTCCGTATGCTTATCCAGTTCCCTCTTGAAGCCGTCCATGCTTGTAGCTGCTACCAGCAGTCTCTGAGCAGTGAGGTCTCCTTTTCCCTCCTGGTGGTTTGCCAGGGCCCCAGCCAGTGTGGCATTAACAGAGCAGCAGCTCCCCAAAAGCCCCGAGAGGGAAAGGAGTTAAAGGCAGAAGGCGGCTCCAGAGATCGCCCTGAGCCAAGAGGCCAAAGAAGCCCCTTGTGCTGGAAGACCTTGACCTGACGAACCTCTCTGCTCCCAGGCAGTGGGCCTGTGTTCCCCGCCCCTCTGCGATGCCTCCGAGCAGTCCTGGGCCCCCGGAGAGCAGAGGGGAGGGTCTTCAAGCAGCCTGCCCCAGGGGGACTGATGGAGCCCAGCTATTGCCTGGCTGGGAATTCCAGCTCCTCAAAAAAAAACCCATTCTTTTCCAGGGGACAACCTGATCTGCGGCAGCTACGACAGCAAACTCGCCTGGTTTGACCTGGACCTGTCCACGAAGCCCTACCGCATGCTGAGGTGAGCGAGAGAAGGAAGAACCTTGGCGTTCCTGTGGTGTGTCATTCTCTTATTAAAATGCCGTGCCCCATCTTTCCCTGAACTCAAGGTGGGTTACAGATTTCACACCAAGCCATACAGTCCCATATAAAATAAACACAATACTATACAGCAAAACCCCTCGTCTTGCTGTGGCTCTTACCAGTGGAGGTGAGCTGGTCTGATCCTCCCCGTCTTGGGAGGAGCTGGCGTCAGGCCCACTTACGCGTTCCTGGCACTGGCGAGATTTGACCTCTTGGGCACGAGGCTGTGGCAGCTGCTCCAGAGGGGACCCATGCCCTTGGCCGGCTGGGTCTGATCCTCCTTGCCGCTGGCTTCTCTCCCTGCAGGCACCACAAGGCAGCGTTGAGGGCTGTGGCCTTCCACCCCCACTACCCACTCTTTGCCTCCGGCTCAGATGACGGCAGCGTCATCGTCTGCCACGGCATGGTCTACAAGTACGTGTGGGGACGGCTGGGGCGGTGGGGGCGGCCTCTTGGCCTTGTGCCCGGGCCAGGCAGGGCCTGGGGGCGGCTTCGCTCACCTCTTCCTCCTCCCCTCTCCCCTCTCCTCCCCGTGCAGCGACCTGCTCCAGAACCCCCTCATCGTGCCGGTGAAGGTGCTGAAGGGCCACGCCCTGACTCACGACCTGGGCGTCCTCGACGTGGCTTTCCACCCCAGCCAGCCCTGGCTCTTCTCTGCCGGTGCAGACGCCACCATCCGCCTCTTCACGTAGCCGGCCGGCCAGCCGACCGCCTCTGGAAGGAAGCCTCTCGCTGGCAGTGGGAGCTGCTGGGACTTGGCCTCTAAACGTGGCAGCTCCCCCACCCCCACCCCCACCCCGTCAGCTGCGGTCGAAAGGTCTTTGTGGCCTCTCCTGGAGGGAAACTGAACTTGGAGGTCTCTTTCTTGGAATTAAACTGTCCAAAACACAGGTGCTCTAAGTGGTCTTCCCCAGTCCCTCTCCCCGCCAACGAGGTCATTGTGCAAGCAGGTCTCTCAAGCGGAGGAGAGGGCGGTCCTCGTCCGTCCTCCGTGCTGGCTCTGAAGGCTCAGCAGCCTCCTTGATAAGGGGTGGGGGGCTGTATGAAGCTGA